TCTCCAGTGGTTGGCAGTGTTAAGTATACATCATGAATTCAGAATTATTGGATAAATGACGAAAAGTAATTTACCAATATCACCAAATTTTTTGTCGTCTTTATTATTGCTTTCTACATATTTTCTTGCATCAAACCACCCGAGAATTTTGTATAATTCTCCACAGGAACAAAAAGTGGCATAGAAAGATGAGGGCAAACAATTTCTGTCGAAACCTAGACACTCAAGATAGTATTTAGTTTGGCAACCAAACTATCTCGCAGAAGTAAATTATAAAAATCTCATTTCTGAGATTTTAAAAGTGAAACAGCACATTACAATCCTGGTTTTTAAAAAAGTGAATTAAACTGATAATTTACAGTTTTATATTTTTATAGAATACCTTTATATTTGTTACACAAATACAAAACTTGTTATTTAAATAGTAACTGCTAACATGGACATAAGTTACTATGTCTGACAATGGTGTTCTGTAAACAAGAGATGAACAGTCTTTGTCAAGAATAATTGTGTGCATTTTTGTTATCTGCATTTTCAGTTTTTAACATTATAAAAAAGAATCAGTAATATGCAACAATTTCTTACTTCTCTAAGCATTGCTATTATTCTCCTCTGGAAAGTATATTCAAATTAGAATTTTTGAAATTGTTCTTAAGATGATAGGCTATGATATTTTTTCTCTTTAAGATTAATAATCACATGATTCAGGAAGTTAAATTCACTATTAAGTGAATATTAAGTTCCCTTACCTTTCATCAATATTTGTTGTAAGGTAAATTAAATTAAGTATCAGCCTCCTTGTCTCTTGATCTTTCACATCCTCTTCTATACACCACAAACAATCTCCAATACCTGTGTTGCTTTTAAAATACATCTATGAAACTTTGATACTCATCCCTCCAAGGGGTGCAACTTAATTTCTTGCCCCACTATTTAGTGACTTGCTTCTAATGAACAAAATTAAGTGGAAGTGAAGGAATGTGACTTTGAGACTAAGTCACAGAGGGCACATTTCTCTCTCTCAGATCCCTTACTTCGAGTGAAGTTAGCTGTCAGTTCGGGCAGACAGGCTCATGTGGAAAGGTCTCTGGCCAACAGTCATGTGAGTGACCCATCTTGGAAGTGGATCCTCCAATCAGTTAAGCCTTCGGATGACTGCAGTCCTTGTCTACATCCTGACTTCAACATAAGAGACCCTGAGTCAGGGCCACCCAGGTAAGTCACTCCAGAATTTCTGACCCACAGAAACTCAGATAAATTTGTTGTTTTAAGCCCTAAGTTTTGGGTAAGTCTGGAATAATATGAGAGATAATACAAAAGACTGTGCAAATTACTGTGGTGTACAAAAGACAAAACTAAAGTTTTCCATTAAACTGAGTATTTCCTTCCCTACTGTCTCAAGCAGAGCACTAAGGGTCATCTAATGATAGAGGCTTTGTCTTTACCTCTTTCTGTCCCTTTAGACGTCAAAGGATTTTTGCAAGCTTTTTGTGTAGGAATAACATGAATACAGATTGAACTATAAATTTCATGTCTCTTAAGTAAAATTTTCTAAAAGCGCCTCTTTCCCCTTCAAATATCCCTCTTTCCTCTACTTTATGTCTCTTTTTCCAAGGCAGCCAGAATGGCTATTTGCTAAAATGTCCACCTTTCCCTTCTCAAACATCCTGACAAAACAAAATCCTCAACAAAACAAGTAGTCTAAAGAAAACAAATTCTCAAACCACCCACCAAACAGAAGGAGGAAAGGACTGTGGGTGGCTCATAGTGGCTTCCTTCTGTTACTGGTTCAAAGCATTTCTATTAACTTACTAATTCATTATAGAAGCTAGGCCAATTGACTGGGAATGTGATTTCTAGAAACAGATTAGTTTTGCAGAAGACCAACAATATTAAAGTATACTAAAAATATACTAAAAATAGAATAAAAAATAAAAAATAGAATAAAAAAGATCACCTTAACCATTTCTCTATAATGCCTTCTAGTTCTCATCCATGTGAGATGCAACCAACCAACATGGATTTTTTCCACTGTGGAAGAAGCTTGAATATAGCTACACATTCAGAGTTCTTTAGGAAAGGTTTCACCCCTATTAGCTAAAGGTGAATTATAACTCACTAAGTATAGACCAACACATAGGCCAGTGGAACATATTTTAATTTCCATTGCTTGATGGCCAGTATTTTTTCTAACATAGGCCAAATTTTTTACACTAAGCATACAGACAACTCTCAAATATTCAATACATCTAATATATCCATTCTTTTAGAATGTATTTTCTCTTTTCTTTAATCCCTTATACGTTTAGTGCTCATTAGCACTTTGGCTAAAGATATATAAAAGAAGAGGAAGCTGAAATACAAGACAGTTAATTTTAATTTTTATTAAATGGTTACAAAGAAAATTGAGTTGATGAGCTATTCAAAGTATAAAAATGTGGCTATAATATAAATTGTTCCCCTATTAGTAAAGATAATTAAGAGAACTCACTGAAGTTAGATTTATTCCTTATTTGGAGCTTTTCCTCTTACCATCTGCCCAAAACTATAGTTACAATCGATGTAATATTATTAATTCTTTGCACACAGGCTATCTCTGAAATGATTTCTGTTACTTAAACTTAATTTCATCCCAGGTATCCAGATATATATTTCACAGATAAAATAATTAGCCTACAGAATTTAAACAAATATAATTTTTAAAGAGATTTCTGTTGAAGGTCTGCTGTTGATACTTGACTGAAAATAAACTCTAATACCTTCATAAATAACAAATTATCCAAATTAAAAAAACTATTACTATATCTTAGAGCTTTTCACATCATCCCTTTTGTACTAACCAAAGTTTTATTTTCAAAACTACCTTCTACATAGTTTAAACTGGAGACGTCCTATTACTTTCAAAGGAACACTATAAATTATTATTAAATCTGTGGTAAAGTAATGGCATTTGGAAGACACTGAAACAGGAAGATTAGAAATATTGTTTATTTAAGCACTAAATTTATGTCAGTATAGTAATTCAACAATTTTATAATGTACTACAATAGGCCTAGTAACAAAATTGTATTCCAAAAAGTCAGAATCATTGTTTCTCAATTTCCTCTTTTGCAAAATAAACCTAGTATATTTCAATGCCATGGTTTCAGTGTTTATCAGCATTTTTAGATACATGAAAAATCGAATGGGGGTGAAGAAAACTGAATGACTCAAAGAATGGTTTCAAATAAAAATATGTGTAATAACGGGTACCAAGATAACTTCTTATTCTAAAACTTTTATTTATAGAGAAAAGCTCTCGAAATTGGATTTCTCAGATTTGATGTTAAATAATAAGATAGTCTTAGTTATGCAATCAGTAACTGAATAACCCTAACAAAGTGAAAATCTCCTACTTTATTTAGAAGGAAAGAAATAAATACAGCACTCTTGATTTAATTGTTGTTGATGTTAAGAAATCTTATTTGTTAAGAGTTCTTATTTTATTCAAAATACGTATCATCCCACTAAAAGCCAACTCATCTCATTAAAGATATCCTTTTCAAACTTATAAAATTTCAATGACTTATGAAAACATGGAGAACAATATAATATACATATATACTACCGAGTTAACAAGTGTTAACATTTTGCATACCTGCTTAGCTCTCTTCTATTAAGAAAAAAAAAAAAAAAAGTTGCAGATATAACTGCTGAAGCCCCATTATTCCTTTCTCAGGTATCACAGTCTCTTTTCTCCCCAATTCTGGAAGTGATCGTTTTTCTAAAGAAGATGTGTGCCCTTCCTGTCCAGGTTTTTATACTTTTATTACATATGTGCGTTTTCACAAACATTAACGTTATGTTTTAAAAACTACATAAAGTATCCTAATTAGTCAGGCGTGGCAGCATGTGCCTGTAGAATTGCTTGAACCTGGGAGGCGGAGGTTGCAGTGAGCAGAGATCATGCCACTGCACTCCAGCCTGGGTGACAGAGCAAGACTTCATCTTCAAAAAAACAAAAACAAAAACAAAACAAAATAAAACCAACAACAACAAACTATATAAAGTATTCCCATTTTATCATTTTGTAATTTCCATCTTTACTCAACATTGCTACTGAAATTTAGGCAAATTAATATATATTTAGTATATTTTAATTTTTCGAAAGAGTTTCTAAAGATCAACTATTCTGTTATTGGTGGATATTTAGGTTGTTTCTAACCCATGACATGAACGTCCTTGTATATGTCTCCTTGCGGATATGTATTATTTCTTTCTGTATTACTTCAATAAAGTTTTGCTTAAGCTAGTTGGGTGGATTTGTTTTTTTTAAACTAAGCACAGACAATTGAAGAAAAAGCTAGAAAGCTATTTTCTAATCTTATTATTTACCTGATTTTAAACTTTTATTTATTTATATACACACACGCACACCCACATATATGTACATATGTATGTGGATGTGGCTTTTAATTATTTAGAGACAGGGTCTCACTCTGTTGCCCAAGCTGGAATGCAGTGTCATGATCATGGGTCACTGTAGCAGCCTTGATCTCTCAGGCCCAAGCAATCCTCCCACCTCGGCCCACTGAGTAGCTGGGACTACAGGCATGTGCCATCCTGTGTGGCTAATTTTTAAATTTTTTATACAGATAGGGGTCCCCCTATGTTGCCCAGGCTGGTCTCAAACTGTTGAGCTCAAGTGAACCTCCCTCCTTCACCTCCCAAAGTGTTTGAATTACAGGAGTGAGTCACTGTGCCCAGTCCTATTTCTTTGTTAAATCTTTTCTTTGTTGAAATGCTTGTGATGTAGAAAAAAGGTTAGTAGGAAATACAAAACCTTAGCCTTTATTTTACTTGAAAATAGTTCTTCTATTCAGAAATATTTAAGTCACATATTTATATACATGGAACTTCTGTTTGGAATTCCCGTGGTAGATCACTTCAGAAAAATAAAATGAGGAAGCTAGGTTACGCATCAGCATTTGAATGCTGCTTTCTGCAGAAGCAATGTCTACCTTTGGTAGTTTTTCCTTTGCTATTCCTGAAATCACTTTATTATGTGGCTGATCAACAGTCAAATTATTTTTCCTTGTTTCACTGTCTTCAAGCAGAGGAACACAGCCATAATTGCCATCTGCAAGACAAAAACCTCTTGGATATTAGCAGAAAACCCTTATTTTTGGTACCACCTGAAAAAGCAAAAGTAATACAAACTCAAAACCGTAAAGAGAATAGATTTTAAGGTAGGAGTTTTAGAAAATTCTTTAGGTAATAGTTGCTTTGACAAGTTGTCCATTTACATTTTTTCCTTCCCACTAAACATACAAAACCCCTGCTCTCCAAAAGTCAGCAGTATGTAAAATATACAGAATTTAGAAAACTAGAAATATGCTCTTTGCCACTGTCAGCAACAATTCAACTTTTATATAAGTCATATTTTCAGGTATGTATTTCTTATTTAAGATAATGATTTGTATTATGACTCCATGCTTATCATAGGAAAATTAGAAAATGCAGACAGTCAAAAAGAATAAAAAGTAAATATTACCCAAATTTTTATCACTTGTGAAGTATTCCAGTTAATACTTCTGTTCCTAAACACATAAATTCACACAAGAATCACCTTTTTCTGCATAAATGAAAATAACACTTATTTACGTATCCTGCTTTGTTCATTTTGCTATATATCATCAACATATTCTTACAAGTTAATACCTATTATCACTTTTCTTGGCTACATAGCTATTCATATAGATCACTGTAACTACTGAATATTTGTTTCTAGCTTTCCATGATTAGAAATTATACTGTGATACACATCCTTGCATATATATTTTTGAGTACCTGAACAAATGTTTTCTCATGATATAGTCTTAGGACTTGAGTTTTTGGTTCAAAAGGCATAGATGTTTTCAAAAGCTTTTGCTGCTATTTACTGGCAAATTGCTTTTGAGAAAGTTTTATAAACTTAGAGTTCCACCGTATAGTATAGTATAGTATAGTATAGTATAGTATAGTATAGTATAGAATAGTATAGGTGAAAGTCCACTTTCCCGTATCCTAGTGTTCATTTAAATAAATGTAACATATAACTGTACCACAGTTATAATATCAAAACTACTGAGAAATAACGAAGGAATAAAACAGAAGAACTCAGCTTACACCTTTCTTTTCACCAAGAGGTTCTAGAAATACATAAAAAATTAACATGCACATACCTTGAGTGGAATTCACAAGAAGTAACTGTGATTTTAGCTTGTCAATAATAGTTTGTTGAAGTGACAGCTGTTCCTGTTGTTCACGTATTCTCTGCTCATAGTTCTCAGTCTGCCAACATAAAAACCAGTTAGCCTGATATTTACTGACAGACATGAACACATTATTTACCATCCATTAATAATATAAATAGATATGAGTTGCCCACATTGTCATTTTGCAGGTATTGTGATTTATGAGATACCAACTGGCTCCAGGAATGTACTTGTAATTGTTACAAACATCAGTGATTGAAGACACTTAAAGCACCGTAAAAGTTTTAAAGATTATCTTATTTGGCCGGGCGCGGTGGCTCATGCCTGTAGTCCCAGCACTTTGGGAGGCTGAGGTGGGTGGATCATGAGGTCAGGAGATCGAGACTATCCTGGCTAACACGGTGAAATCCCGTCCTACTAAAAATACAAAAAAAAATTAGCCGGGCGTGGTGGTGGGCGCCTGTAGTCCCAGCTACTTGGGAGGCTGAGGCAGGAGAATAGCATGAACCTGGGAGGTGGAGCTTGCAGTGAGCCGAGATCGCGCCACTGTACTCCAGCCTGGTAGACTGAGCAAGACTCCGTCTCAGGAAAAAAAAAAAAGATTATCTTATTTAAACACATATCAGTCAAGGATTCAATCTACGATTTCCTGATCCTTCAGTAAGGATCAAAACTGTAATTTAGCATTTATTCCTTAAAGAAAAAAAAAGCACAAATGAAACAACAAATACTATATTAAAGTGATTTTTTAAAAAATACACACTAACTTAAAAAATTAAGATTTTGTGTCTTTCAAATAAACACACTTCTAAATTTATTTTTAGGGTACACAAACACTAAGGAAGTGTTGATAAAAATCAAAGGGACAAATACAAATTATAAAATTATAATGACCAGAAACTTGTCTGCTAAGTTTTAAGAAATTAAGAGAACACCATGGTTGACCTTTGGTGTCTATCTTAAATGCCATAGTTTCCCTTATATTGTTAATCCATTCATTTTGCTATTTTATCGCAATGACTGTGAAAATATAGCAATGAAATAAGACACAAGTTTGTACTGAGGAATACAGATGCCACAAACCTTCAAGCAAATTTGAAACTGTTGTATCACAATTACCAAATTAGTACAGTCTTAAAAACGTATCACCAAACAGTAACAGAGAACTTTTATTTTTTTCCTTTAACCAATTTCTATCCCTGGAGGGATAAATAATGTTTAAGTTGCAAATTCCTTGAAATATAAAATGAAAATGAAGTTCCTAATAATCTCAGAATATATTCAGTAAGTACTATTTCACTTTAAACTGATTCTTAAAGTTCAAAATTAGTGAAGCTCTATTAATTTCGGAGACCAAACAACTAAACTTAAAATTTTTAATAAATTAACACAGCTGTTCATAGATTAGCAAATATAAATTAGCTTAAGAAATTAAAAGCTGGCAGTGAACCCCGTCTCTACTAAAAATACAAAAAACTAGCGCGGGCGAGGTGGCGGGCGCCTGTAGTCCCAGCTACTCGGGAGGCTGAGGCAGGAGAATGGCGTGAACCCGGGAGGCGGAGCTTGCAGTGAGCTGAGATCCGGCCACTGCACTCCAGCCTGGGCGACAGAGCAAGACTCTGTCTCAAAAAAAAAAAAAAAAAAAAAGAAAAAGAAATTAAAGCTGGGGAGGCTGAGCCAGGTGGATTACGAGGTCAGGAGTATCGAGACCACTGGTTAACACAGTGAAATCCTGTCTCCACTAAAAACACAAAAAATTGGCCAGGTGTGGTGGCAGGCGCCTGTAGTCCCAGCTACTCGGGAGGCTGAGGCAGGAGAATGGTGTGAACCTGAGAGGCGGCGCTTGCAGTGAGCTGAGTTCGCGCCACTGCACTCCAGCCTGGGCAACAGAGTGAGACTTCTGTCTCAAAAATAAAAAAAAAAAGAAACGAAAGCTAAATACATTTTCCCAAATAAAAGGTGAACTTTTATAAGTAATACAGTTCAAATATGAATAACTGACAGAGCTGATAAGCAACCCACGTGGTGCGTTGTCTTTGCACACTGCCTAAAGGCAGTCTTACATAGTTTCACATTCCCCACAGAATTCATATAGATTAAGTAACTTATACATAGGAGATGTTCAGTATATGTTCACTGAAAAATTTAAAAAGGAAATACGGATTCCAACTACATTTTATTATTGTGAACAGAAGAATGAATCATGTGGGTCTACCTGAAGTGTATGTCCAATGAATATGTCTCAGAAATGATCACTGATACCCAAGTCTAGTCTAGGGCCTGGCTTCCCAGGATAAGACATCTTATTTCTGTATAAATTCACATCCAACCCCCTAGAAACAGTGTGGTAAGCTGACTGAATGAAGGAACCAAAAATCTACAGCAAATTCTAAATACCTTAGATTGATCTGGGCTACATAGCACCACCAGGGCTGAAGAATCAGTAAACAAGTTAAGAGTCTTCTCTATATATTTCTGCATTAATTAAAGCTTTCTCCAAGGACTCAAAGTTCTTCACAAACATCAATCAATAAGTACCTATTTTTTCACTTTATTTTGATAGGTATATACATTAGACGGTCCAGAGATTAAGTAACCAGTCCAAAAAACTTAGCAAGTTAGAGACAGGTCCAGAATAAATGTCTATGTTATTCAAGTCTCTATGTCTTTTTCTCCCACCTTGATGAAGAAACCATATATTTTCTTTTGAAACCAACTCAGAAAGCTTCTGCCAGTTAATTTTTATCTTCTATTCTCTGGTTTAAAAAACATACTTTAGCACATCTGCATATAAGATATTATAATAAATAATCCTGAAAATGTATTCAACAGCTAGGAAAAATTAATGGATCAATGGCTATTTCAAGCTGAAGTTTTAACTACTTCTTAAGCTACTTAATAAAGTATTATAAAGGTTGAGCAAAGTCTACAATAATTTTAAAAACCAACACTCTGGAAGTATAATAGAGGAAATAGAACAGCAAGAGCCCATGTTTTCCTCCTACACTTTTCACATACTTACATTTAGCAGTTACAATGTTCTAGTCTAATTGTCTAATGTCTGATTTCCCTCTAGACTGAACTTCTCAAGGGTAGAGAGTATTTCCTCCTGGTATCTCCAGAGTATTACAGAGTGGCTGGCACATACTGGGATGCTCGGTAAATATTAGTTGAATAAACAAACTAATTAAGTTGTTAAAGAAATATCACAGTTGAGCATCCCATGCTGCTGCTCTGCCTCTGGAGTAGTCATTCTTTTATTCCTTTACTTTCTTAATAAACTTACTTTCACTTAAAAAAAAAAAAAAGAAATATCAGAGAAACAGATATGCTTTCAGAAATGATCTGGAGGAATGGAGGAATGCCTTTGCTTACATTTCTCTAAGGGAAACAGTAAAAACAGAAACAAGGTCAGTTTAGAAAATGGATGCAAAAGATAGGTAATATTTGAAGATTTTTTTTGGAAAAAAAGGGAAGCTTATATCATTAGAAAAAAGGTAGCAATTTGAGAGAATGCATATTCAGAAAAGAGTATAAAGATTTTGACCACAGACTGTCAGATGGAAAGTCCAAAAGGAAATATTACATCAAACTGGGAAACAACCAGTAGAATTTGGTTTATTTGCTGTTTGGAAACTAAACGAAACTAGTCTTTTTTTTTTTTTTTTTCCTTTTATTAAATGCTTTTGTTCACAGAACATATCTGCCTAAACTTAAAACCTGAAAAGTCCTTTTACAAGGTCAGATTATTGCTGTACCATCATAGTATTTTTTTTAAAATACAATTACAAAGCAAGTACATTCTAGCACTATCAAAGACCCCACAAAACAGAAAACTCACTAACAACCACATTGAAAATGTACAACAGCAATGTCTTGTCAACACTTCTGTACAGAGCACAGACATGACAGCTAAAACAGACAGAAGAGAAGATGCTTTTGACAGCCAGTGTGTGTGAATGATTCTTTGAGTCAGATGGCAGCAACAAGTTACCAACTAGGAGATCTGCATGACAACTAACCATCCATCTGTATCAAACACCATCTGGCCAAGATGACTCTGGCTTCTGTGTATTTGACACTCCTTCCAGTTTCAAAGACTAGCAAAACAAGTGGTCTACCAGCATCTAAATAGGTAAACAGGTACTTAGGTACTTGTGCTATAAGGGACTTTGTTTTTTATTTTATTTTATTTATTACTATATTATTTATATAGAGACAGGGTCTTGCTATGTTGCCCAGGCTGGCCTCAAACTCCTGGGCTCAAGTGATCCTCCCACCTTGGCCTCCCAAAGTGCTGGGATTACAGACATGAGACACCACGCCTAGCCCATAAGGTTAACTTTGTATTCTTTCTTAGTGTTCAAAAGTAAAACTTAAAACACTGGTGATCAAATATAGCACACATCCTAAATTTATTAAAAATGGTTGCCCATACTCTGGATTATGATAAGCAAAAAAAAAAGTTTATTTTAAAAATTACCCTTTTATCCAGGCAAAATTTCAATATTTCCTCTTCAAAACTAAGGCAGCATATTTCCTATAATTTTGTGTAGATACCTGTTTAAGTTTTTGTGAGTATCATAAATATTAAAATAGAGTTCCATAAATTGAATTTTTTCCTATTGCTGGTATTGAACTTTTTTTTTTTTGTATTTTCCAAGGCACTTATTTCTTACCTAGGGAAAAAAAAGTTTAAGTGCCCTTAAGTCATCTATAATATTCTAAGTCAAACATTTCTTCTCCTCCTCAATAACTAATTTCAATATTCTAAAAAATATCACTGCTTTCCTCCAATGATTTATTAAGGAATTTAATAAATGTTGAGTGGATTGAAAAAAAATGAAATAGTCCCAATTTAAAAACTTTTCAAATTATTCCAAGGTTAACAAAGAGAATGAAAGATTTACTGAAGGATTTGCATGGCTGCCACAAATGTTCTCCATAGGAAGCTCCACAGTTCATGAAGGAAGATAATTAAATATTAATTATCCTAATACATAGCACTTTAGATAGAAACTAATTTATTTAGACACAATCTAATTAAAATACATCTTGAAATTTTGGTAAGCTAAG